ATCTCACGTTGTTACATAATGTATAGTGTAGTATGAGTATTCTCACGTTGTTACATAATGCATAGTGTAGTGCAACGTGATATTACTCATACTACACTATTCATTATGTAACAACGTGAGATTACTCATATTACTCATACTACACTACTCATTATGTAACATTATGTAACAACGTGACCACGTCCTCTTACTTTAAGTCCCACATTTCAGTTGTATGTAGAATAGTGCTGTCTTTATATTTCGAACTATACATTTAACAATAACCGTGATGATGATGATGAATTGTGCAGTCATTGAAACGTTGCTTACACAGTTGATGTCAAAGGGAATAAGTATGTTATCATAAGAAATAGCAGCGAATGTTCAGATGTATTTTAAGTAAATGTATATCCCTCCACTAGCACAGCGTTAAATCTGTAGGCTTATAACGCTAACAACCAGATTTCGATAGTCGTAGTGGGCTTGCTATGTATCTTTGTGCTTAACAGCAAACAGATAAAAAAAGTAAATGTTTTGAGATTCAAAGAATATTTGATTGTTCTGAAAGAGTTTATATACAACAACTTATAAAACAGCATAATGATAAACCTAATTAATCTATTCGTACTACACGTGCATATTAAACAAAAAATCATCAAATGCACTATTCTAACAATACAATTTATACAACACTGTTCTACAGTATTGTTAGACACGTCCTCTTACTTTACGTCCCACATTTCAGTTGTATTATAAACACCAATATTAGTCTACCTATTCGTCGTGTCAAAAACTATTGAGTTTATACCAGAAAGGTTTATTAATCAACATAGGAAAAGTGTATAAACACCACGATAAGTCTACTCCCACTATTACTATGACTTGGTTCCTAAACAGTTTTTGAGAAGTTTGGATTACGTTTTACTTAATTTGAATGTATCTTTTTCATTTTATATTATGTTTTACTGCGTTTATTTAACATACTACACCAACTTATAATTTTATTATTTTTAATCTACACTTAAGTTAAATGAATTCGATGGGCTTAACATTTCATCCACATCAATATTTTCAGTTTTATGAAATTTAGATTGTCATTTAATGCTTAGAACCTGAACATGAACAACATACTGCTAGTTTTCAAGAAAAATATAAATAACGAACATCCATGCTTAACTTGTTTTTTCTAAACACAAAACTTTTGAAAATGTTTGCTTACAGTTTGAGAAACCTTAGAACTTTAAAACAAATGTACATTATTTTGAAAATACACTTTATCATGAGTGAAATTATAAAATATAACGTTGAACGATATTCAGGCAGACTTCTTTCTATTGATAGGGTAATAAGCATTTTTTAATGGAAAAAATACGGTTTGAACGTTTAGTTTTAAAATACTATAAAAAAACAAGTTTATGAATCTGCTACTGGAGGCCGCTTTGCAGCCATTACTTACTTGCTTTAGTCGAACAAGATATCAGCTGGTTTTCGTTAGGTAGCCACGAAACTTGACCGGCCATAATAACGGCAGGGTTCCACGGTAAGGAGCATCGAACAGCTGTGGACAACAGACCAGTCTTCACCGGCATCACGTGCTTAGGGATGGGGGCCATCGGCTGGGTTCGAACTTCTCGCAAGTCCTTTAGAAAAGAACTGTCTTGACGGACTAGCTTATCAATAGAAAAGACATTTTTGGTGGCATTGTAAGGTTCTTTACTAGGCTTTTTACTTAAGTTAGTTTTACGCAAGTCCTCGACATTTTCTGTGCTAACGCGATGGCGCTCATCACTTTGTAAGGAAGGTCTTGTGTCAGCTAAAAGGGAGGCAACGGTAAAACTAAATGGTTTCCGCGACTGTCCTTCGTTTCTGACGTTTAAGGACGAGGACATTGTCGTGAATATTGATGAGGTGTTGAAGTTAGGCTTAGTTGGACTACAGTTTCAGGATTTCGAAGGTTTGCAATTTTCAGAAGGAACACTAGGCGTATTTTGTGACTCCATTTGTTCACTCCACAAAACAATTTAAAACTAGGCACACTTGTCTATATATTTACCTGCTTCTTTCAGCTTCTGTTGATACTATTACGTGCAGTTCTTCAAATAAAACAATTATTACAGTAACTTATAATGAAGTAAAGCGGGTGAAGAAAACACATTAGCCTTGAATAACGTAAATCAAAACACGCATATTATGTTCTGTACTTACATTTGTAATGTCAAAGAAGCTATTAAGATGAGACTGGAGAGGGGTGCAGCCTCTTCCTCAACCAGTTAGCCGTCATATTATTATAATCTTTTCCTTGTTGTAATAAAACATCACTATTTCACTGTCGTAGCGTTGGAGGCGGTACCGTTCATAGATGCCAATCATATAAAATAGGCGGGCCAGAGTTCCTAAAGCTGCCTCTGATTGGATAAAGTTTTGATTCAAGCAGACTGTAGAGTGCCTAGATGCGCGTCTAACTAAGTTGAAATTGATAATAGACTTTATTTGGCTTAAAGTTTAACCCGTCCTTTATATTTAAATTGTACAACGTATACTGTAGGCATTCACTGCGGCTTTTGGCTAGAATACAACGACGCATTGTATTATGAAAAACATATTTTAAAGTCAGTAATATAATTTAATATCAATTATTCACAACGCAGCAGGAAAAATGATTGTTGCCTAGTTTGTCTACACAGTACCATAATTTTGAGCGGATGATTTCTCTTTAAATCGAAATAGTTTGAAAAAAAAAGAGTTAATTAGCAGTCAGAACGATCAGTGAAGTTTCATTTTAATCTATTCGACAATTAATGTAATATGCAAAAAGAGTTACCCCAGAAAAAAAAAAATTTACATTGTATCACTACGCCACAATCGCCTCTTATGTTTAACTTAAAAACAATTTTCCCGAGCAAGCGCTTGCCAGTATGTTAAAACAAAACACGAGCACTTTCGGAGTTTAATTAAAACTTGGTGAGTTAAAAGTGGTAATTATTTCATTCAATATAAAAATTTTCTCCATAAGAAACACCAATTCTATTTTTCTGGAAAACCGTCATTATATTGGTTAACAAAGCATTAAAGAATAATTCTCTTAAAACTGGGGGATGATTAAATATTCAGATGGAAAAATATATTATAAGTAGTGTGTACAACACTGTATACAGGGTGTCCGAAGATTCTGTTACCAAAATTGTTAACTTGTGTTTTATTGACAGGGGAATTTCAGCCTCTACTACTTCCCCATAAACGATCGGAAACATATTGTGGCGTGAAAGGACAGCAAGAGAGGAATTTCAATAAAATTAGAAAGAAGTATATAAATATTTATTTCCTAAAACTGTATCACATAATTTATATAATGGAACGGAATAGGGCCTAGTTGAACAATGCGTGTACCAAACAGAACAATATTAGTTTTAAAACAATTCATTATTATGTGTTGCTTATGAAACTTTATGCTTCTGTAGAACCCGTATATTTAAATGCAAAGTTCAGAGAGAACAGATCTGGCCAAGCAAAATAAAACTAGAAAAGCACTCGAAGAGTACAGCGTCCGTCTCGCAATGTTTTTGACTTTTACAATAACCAGTTTAAAATCTACATCAAACAGTTTTTCCACAACTTTTAAAAATAGTGCCAAGGTGTTCTTTCTTTGTACGTTTACCTGGAGGTTTGACTTGTTACAATTATAACGAGAGTAGTTGACCGTTAGTGAGACATTTACCTACGAGATAGATTCATCAAATGTTAATATATTTGTCTCTGGGGGACACTCAACGTTTTATATTTTGATAAAATTTGATCAAAATCAGATGAAATATTTTCAAGTTATACTTCTCACAGATAAACACAGTGAAAATAATACTTTCTCAGTTGGGCTGGGTTAATAAACGGACGAATAGATTCAAAGTGACGCTTAGGTTAAAATCACCTTAAAATATATGAGACATGTATGACTTATGATTAGTGGTTTGTGACAAAAAAACAACAACTAATCTCACAGTAAAACTGATTTTGAGCCTGAAGTCAGACAAAATATAAATACTTTGAATAAAGTCTTTATTTTGGGATGTATCTATCTGCAACATTCCTCGAGTGTTGTGCAAAAACATAGTGGCTGTTACAAAACATAGTGGCTGCTACAAAACATAGTGGCTGTTACAAAACATAGTGGCTGCTACAAAACATAGTGGCTGCTACAAAAATAACGATCTAGGAATCGTATACGCCTGAATAAAAATATTCCATGTATATTATGTGCAAGAAAACAGGAAACGATGCAACAGTAACAATGTTAATTTAGGATAAAATCAAACATTCTTGTAAAATAACAATGTTAATTTAGGATAAAATCAAACATTCTTGTAAAATAACAATGTTAATTTAGGATAAAATCAAACATTCTTGTAAAATAACAATACGAAAAACTTTTAACTAGAGGATTTGTTTGTTTGAAGTTAAGCACAAAGCAACACGGTGGGCTATCTGTGCTCTGCCCACCACGAAACCCGGATCCTAGCGTTGTAAGTCCGCAGACATTCCGCTGTGAGAGGGGGGGGATTAAATAGAGGAAGGAAAATATACAGAGAGCAGAAAAAAAAAGAACTGTATATCCATCTTAATGGGTTTGCCCTTACATAAAACATTTGAACGAATACACAGTTTTGGATATTAATACACACCTAATGTTTGATACAAACACTGGGTGTCCTGAAATATTGTGGTGTTATACATTGTTATTAGGGAACAACAAAGCATTGCATGGTTTAAATGTTAAAACAAAGAGAAAATAGAGCTTTTTCGTGGAAAACGTCACCAATACCATCTTTGAAACAAGTTCAGTTTGGCGTGTTTTTCTCTAATGAATGCGAGTTCAATGTATTTAAGTTTAAGAAGGCAACTGGTTGTCACTAGAATCACAACCATAAATTGATATGATCTGTCTTTAAGTGGCCTAATATGATGAAAGAGATAGTGTTTTGATGGAAAACGTTTTGCTTTTTCCACTTTAATCTATTCAGCGTTTAATATATTAAATATACTCCATCTAATTAGGAACACTGCAGGCAAATTTACTTGCTGTTACGCATTACTACCATAGTTATGGAGCAGTTACTGCAAGCTCACTGTTTTGTAATCTATGGTAGAAGATATAATGTTAATTCTGATCTACAACTATGGCTAACAGTTGCTTAATTTGCCTTCAGGAATGGTAATTGGCGGAGTGCAAGAAGGAATTGTTAAGATATAAGACATGCCACGCATACACACTAAATGTTTCAACCAGTACACCAAGTCCAAGTGACCTCCTGGCACATCTACCGCTGCTGATCGAGGGTTGTCTTGGGAAAGTACTCACAGATTCTTCTGGCTTTTTAATGGCTGGGCCGAACAACATTTATACATCATGACATTGAACAGGTAACATGTTATCTTTCAAGCAAACACCCTGCTGATTACTGTGGTCCATATGGGATCTTGTTAGCAAAGAAATTAACCAAGTAAGTATGAATAAATCATACAACTATCAGGAAGATCGGGATCTTCATCAGTTACGAATGTTTAGAAGATGGAAATAATGCCAAGGCCCTACATGGAATTTCACAAGGTAAAGATGGTGATGTAAGTATGATATTTTCCATTACCATGTACAGAAGAATGGTTGGACACTCTGGGAAATTCATGTTGGTTCAAAGCGGATAGTGTGAGCCAACCTTAGACTCCTATCACCGTGCATGATGACTTGATGAGTTCTGAGTAATGCCATTCAGACTGTGTAATGCATAAGCAACTCATGGAATTACTATTTCACGGTGTGTGAATGCTTCCTTCTCAAGTAGATGACGTTTTTGTGTTCAGCTTTCAAGAACTTGCACCTAGTGTTCGCCCTCTAGTGGTACAGCGGTATGTCTGTGGACTTACAACGCTAGAAACCGGGTTTCAATACCCGTGGTGGGCAGAGCACAGATAGCCCATTGTGTAGCTTTGTGCTTAACTTCAAAAACAAAACAAACACCTAGTGTTACAGTGAATATAAAGAGCTAATTTGAAGTTGACAACAAATGTGCATTGACGCTCACAGAAATTCGACTTCTAGAACAGGAAGCAAAGTTTGGTGAAGTGAAGGATTATGAGAGTCATAATGTAGAAAAATGTGTTTGTTTCATCATGGGCTTAGAGCAAGGCCCAGTGGTTACTTTCTTTTTATAATTCAGGATTACAGCAATGTTTAGAAAATTGATTTTCTTTTCAGTATCAGGATAGTAGAGTTTACGTTAGGGTGTTTAGAAAGTCAGGAAACATCTTAGGTTATCTAGACCATAAATCCCTAATCCCAAAATATCATACATGTGTCTGAGCCATATATTTGGTTTCGTATTGGTATCTGTACGAACCAAAGGTTTAGGAGCTCAACTTAAAAGTATGTGCATAAAAATAGCTAAGGTAACAGCAACTGTCTGTTGCTCATAGCATCTTCTGTTGTTTGTTTATAAATATTCTATTAAATATGGTACAATAATTACAGAATTGAAACGTGCTGATAGAAATTCCAGCAAAAGCCAGTGAACATATTAAATTCATTCTTAAAATTAATGGACACCAGATGACTATATAAACGAAATGTTTACTTCTTGACGTTGTACCATAAATCAATAAAAACTCAAACCAATGGCTGTGTTTACTATCAATAAGACTTCACTATACTCTACATAAGTACAATATCGAGTAAAAACATTTAACCTTCTGACTAGTGTTGTACAAAAAACCTACTCACACCCTACAACAAATTCTTTTTACAAACGTAAAAGCTTTAAAAAGAAATATTGCCGTATTAACTCTGCATGAAATCAATGTATTGTTTTTATTTAGTTTACGAGCTAAAATTTCGAAGTTATTCTGACATTTATTTTTAAACAGACAGACAACTACAAACTCGTGCTGCTGAACATTTCGGTGCAATCTACAAACTTCAATGAGAGAAAAGTGCCCCAGCTAACACATCTATGATAAACACAACCAGTACGAATCTGTTCTTCACAATCAGAATACTTGCCAAGCCAATGTTTTCCCTTCAACTAAAATAGACGGAAGCTTCATTTATTTCTCGACTCCAGCC